CTCTCTCTCTCTCTCTCTCTCTCTCTCTCTCTTTGATACAAAATGGTACAATTTATCTCCATAAGTCTTCTAATAATAATTACAATTTACTAGACAATAATATATAAAATATAAAACTTCTATACTAGAATATTTTGTTACAAGTAGATAGAAACTAATCCATAATTTATTATTGCCAACGTTGATGTACGAAATATTTTTATCTACTATCTCATATCACGTTACTGTGTAATTTATTGATGCTTAGTGCTTACATTTTGATAACATGGGACAGATAGTTTTAGGGAGTGATATTAACTTCTTTGTAGTTCTTCCAAGCTTTCTTTACAAGCAATTTGATCAGGTCAACTGCAGAATAGGAGTAGATTTAGGGAATGGTTTGATTTCGTTCTTTCGTGCCTAATTTTAGAATATTGTACGACCCTTTTTTATATAACAGCACGATGCAAAATGCAGATCTGAAAGTCAATACTGTGCTAAATTTAGATGCTAACTTGGAAAGCGACTTTCAGAGTAAATTTTAAGATCTTTTTAGCGATCAATTATTGAACATAAAAAAATTGGTATACATATTTATTCGTATGTATGTATTTTGCTTTTAAATTGTATTTCCAAATTTGTGCCAAGTTTCAATTTTTGCTAAAGTTTTGCAAAATCACTAAATTAAATATTTTTAAAGTTATAAATTGTTATGTCCTATATATGAAGAAATGATTTTTCAGAAAAACGATTTACCTAAACGATCGAATTAGAGATATTTTTTATTTTAATGGACGTTTATGTCAAAATTAAATAGTAGCATCTTATAAAAATAAATTTTAAATGGCTAAGTTGTCTCATTCTTTATATCGTTCGCACTTATGAATACCAGAATAGCAATAAACTATGTATTTTAATCTCTTTTTGATACACGATTTTTGATACTCTCAGTAAATTATGCCTGCATTCGTCCACAATCTGCGTTTATGTTTCTTGTTTTCTTCATTATGTCATTATACATTTTTTACAATCCAATCAAAGTCAAAGTTGCACTTTATCTTGCAGAGGGCTATTAGAAAAGTGAATATTTCAAATCGGATCTTTTATTGTTCGCCACGAACGTGAAACGCGCCGTAGCTTGTCGTCATGGGATGACGATCTCTCACAAGTAGATTAAGATTCAAGATTAAGTATTTGGATGGCTTGCAAACGAAAGCGAAAAAAGCTTGGGATACGACGTATCTGAGGGAAGCTCGGAAACCTTGTGCCACTGCGCCATTCAACATGGCGTAGCGGCGTGAATTCAAATATCAGTGCAATATAGACAAGTACTTTGACGCGAGTAGAAATAGCCATGCGGTAACGTGGGCTAAGCGAGAGCTTTAGAGCATTAGTTCGATAGATTTCGGCTCCAAATCGGGGCGAAGTGGATTAAGCATCATCAGAAGAACAACCCTGGCGCTCGCGGTGGTGAATCCCGGCGATGATCGGGTACAATCAACACAATTCCGGCTACAACAAGCTATTCACTCAGGTATAATGACAAACGTGGATTCTAATAATTTTTTGTTGTGCAAGAAGTGCGCAGAAGGTATTAAGAATGCTTCATTTTTTTCATCAAATAATATCGACACGTTCTATTCAGCGATATGTTCTATTCAGCGATATGTTCTATTTGCTATAATAATTAAAATATTTAAATCAACAGGCAAGGTTTGGCACTGCGGCATTTTCTTTCATAACCGTTGCTTTTATTTTATGTTTTTTTAAATGTTTTTGGTTTCGCTCTTGGTTTATTATTTTGTTTTCTTTCGATCTGTGTGTCTCTCTCTCTCTCTCTCTCTCTCTCTCTCTCTCTCACCTATCACTTTTCGCAAGGCTGCAATAAATAGAAATATGTTGATGGAACAATAGTGCTTATCTTTTTATTTCCTCTCGTCAAAGGGATAAGTGTAATTAAATTTAAACCTATCAAGGGATTCCATACAGTCAGGAAGGTCTCCATGTAAAAATAACCGATTATCGTGACCGTACTTTGAGCAAGGAGGCGCAAGGAAGAGCTGTTCGATCGCGTCAAAGACGCGCCGTTTTCTAGACGTATAGGATATTTCGCGACATATCGTTTAAGGCTTGTATTAGGCAACGTGGCGTAAAGCAGAAGCGATCATCCGTGTTATCGTTGCTGCGCAACGATTTACACCGATCGCACGCTCGTTCGAGGTTTCTTTTTTTAGTATAAAATCGAGCTTCGAGGAGGTCGGGTGATATGCTCTATTGGCCTTGAAGCTACAGTTTATCCTCTTAGTTCTTTACCCTTGGTGCAGCTCTTACTTGCAATACATCTTTCGAAATGTCCTTCGAGTGTACTGGCGAGATTTTGCAGAAGCCAGAAAGGCCTTAATTTTTTACATCGACGTTAACTATTTGCAATTTGCAACTTATTTTCATTGACAAGAAACATTGTGAAGAAGTTTTCGATTGTTGCTAAATTTTATTTGCACCAATTTTGATTTTATTAGCATCAAAATGTTAACTGATAAATGTTAACTGATAATTGAAATTGCTCTTAATTTTACTAAGAGCTGTAACATTATCGGTAATATTTTTCCCAATTATTTTTCTTTCAATCGGACAATTTGAATTGTGCAATGCGCCTGCTTATTAAACTATGATTCTTAGATTATGTGAAATATTGACTCTTCCCATTTTCTTGCGTGGAATAATTGTAAACGCTTTTAAAAATTTAGTTTAATTAAGTATATAGTAATATTATAAATAATATAAAAATAAAATAATAACATAAAAATGAGATTTTCAAAATAAAACTCTAGGTAGGCGTTACATCGATGTAGTCATTTAAATGTTAAATATGTCAGAAACACATGTGCATATATACATATAATTATTCCTTCTTTTTTAATGCTTTATACGAGTAAACATATAAATACATGTCTATATAATAACTATTTTGAGCTTTACACAATCTAGTGGCTAACAAGAAGAATTCTGTAAAAGATAAGATAAATAAAATTAAAATATACACACAGTTTACAACAAAATGTTCTAAAAAGGTATAATTAATAACTATTTCATAACTGCAATGTTTTTTGAAATATTATTATTAGAAAATCATTTTCTTCATTTCAGTCTTTCTCATCAAAAGTCTCTTATTATTGTTCTATAAATATTAGAATGCTCAAGTTTATTTCGTACAAACACGCATTATATATTTATACATTGAGAGCAGAACATGTCGAATTAAAGTCGTTGGCATGGCTACGACATGTCAACCGAGTGAGTTTATTCGCCAAAAACCTTTTTTGAGGAAAGAAGAGTACTGTGGAAACAATCTAAGCAACTTATTTGCTGAAAACTGATTGTGATAAGATTAATCAAACAATTAAGCAGAAAATTAATAAAACCTTATAGAGTTGGAATCCTAATTGCGATCCTAAATATAATTAAATTATGAAATAAAAGGAAAATTATCTCTAAATAAAATCTTCTTTCTAATGATCCTACTTTCTTCTACCTGAAAAACAATGTGCTTTAAGCAAAAGAAACTTCCGTCAATTTTGAACAAATTTTAAATACATAATACATGTAATACACATATCTCTCTGCTGTCTAATAATAATTATTATTTACGTAAAAATAATTTTATACATATATATATATATATATATATATATATATATATATATAGGTGAATAATGTATTTCTCACACCTTCATTAAATAAAAACTTATAATTTTTTTTTAAACAAGGAAACTGAACTTAACAAACATAGATTATAACTGCAATGGTTGAAATGTTACATTGCTGTAATATGTGGTCATAATATGTGTTTGCTCGTTTGTTGGAAAAGAAATTTAAAACGTATATAAAAAGATATTTCCAAAATAAAAATTTTGGAAATTATTAAAATTTGCTGTATTACATACGTAATCATATTTGTATACATAAAGTGGTTGACAATCGTGCAGCAATCCGTAATATTAAACAATTCATCGAATTAAATTAATAAGACCACTGATTCTCGGAATAATATGCAAATCGAAGCTTATGCTGGCCTAAATTTCTTGCTTATGACTACGAACATCGAGCGTGCGTAAGTCTTCCTTCCTATGCTCGATCGATTCATTTAATTTTAACAGGAACTAATTAACTTGCTAGACTGATTTCCTTTGTTACAAGGTAATCTGCGTCGATACTTGTAGGGTGTGATAGACGTAATGAACTGCGTCGTAGGGCACTTTATCATTCACGGTCTCGCGGACAAAGTCACAGTTAACGTTATATTAGACAGAGTAAATAAATAGTGTTTAAGTATGCTATTTTCAAGGGATGAAACTTTTCATAAAATATTCGGTTTAATGTAGAAAGTATTTGTAGGTAACGTTTTTCATATACATATTAATATACAATTTTACAAAGCTTTATGTAAATGATTTTATTTAAATAAATGCTGTTTATGCTACTTTCAAGGGATTAAACTTTTCAAGGGATAAACTTTTCATAAAATATTTGGTTTGAAAGATTAATATAAAAAGTATTTGTAGATAACATTTTTCATATATTAATATAAAATTTTGCAAAGCTTTATGTAAACGATTTTATTTAAATAAAGATTTTAATCACAAAATATCACTAATCTTTGAGCAATATGTAAATGTTTATATAAATGTTTAATTAAAAAGTTACGTAATTTATTGAAACTATTAATTATATTGCATGGTAAAGAAATAAATTTAAATTAATCTTGGTATTGAGATGAAATAAAAAATTATCTAAGTTTTAACGAAAAACTTTTGAGATTTCTTGTCAAAAGTTAGAAGAGGTTTAAACCAATATCTAAGACCATTATTGCACCAAAGATTATTAATTCACCGCAAACGTTATATAAGAAAAATTCTAATTAACGTCTGTGTGAAGGAAAATTTGTTTTAAGTTTTCCAAAACTTCTTCGCCATGTACGAAAGTTCGCGGATCTAATGGATGACTCGTTTGATTTCTCTCAGGGCTCGGCGGACTCGAACTACTCCCAGCCGAGCTCGGATCTTTCGCTGGACGAGGAGAAGGAGAGCTTGCGACGGGAGAAGGAGAGGCAGGCCCTCAATCAACTCGAAAAAGCCAGAGTAAGTCATTGATCCTTCGTGCGCTCCAGTTTTGCTCCGCTCCCATGCACAGGCCGCGTGCCATTCTTATTTTTCCGCGCGTGCTGGATCACCATTTATCGATTTGAGTGGGCGTCCCGTCATCACCGTCATATTTCCTCATAGCGTTATAAACATCATGAATCTGTATGAGAAGCGACATAGCCGGACACGTCTGCAATTTCGAGATAGGAGGCGAAGAGAAAAAAAGAAACGGGGACTCGGCGAGGTGCCAGTCGGATACTTCGCGGCATTCCTCGCGCTCGTAGTCCAGGCCATGAAGATAAATCTATGGAAAAATACGATCTATGATCCGTACGAGTGCTACTTTAACGCGGCAGTAATGCTTAAATGCGACAATAATGTCGACGCTCACGTATCGAGAAGTGTTTTATGAGGAGCACGCGCGAGGTAGTTTTCGAAGTATTGATATACTTCATGGATCATTTTACTTTACCAGGAATGAATTTTATTCATGAATTTTTACGAAATACAGTATTTGCCAATCATAAAAAATTTTATTAAAACTATATTCTTTTATCTAATATTTCATTATAAAATACGATAAAAGATATTCATAATATAATATTTCGCTTCTCTTCTTTCTTTTATGATACAACATAAAACATTGCGTGTTTTACGTTTAGGAATAATTTAAATGAAGGGTTCAAACCTGCGAAATTTCTTCAATCACAGTGGATTATAACGACAGATAGCGATAAATTGTAGGCTCAAATGGTAAACACGGTTGAAATTATGAAATAGCACGAACGTCAAATGCGAGGACCTGATCGACTCAGTCTTCTTCGGTTTAACGGTGAATGGATATTGATTGGCGAGAGACGACCTTCGAAGGATAGAGCTCGTCGCAATAAAAATGAAAAGCTCCGCAATGCTCTTTTATTCTTTATTGACGCGACGACGGTGTTGTCACTAGCAAAATGCGTCCACGCATAAGCTGACAATGTGTCGATCGGCCGTGAAGCTCGTCGACGGCGGTGTGGCTGCGGCTTTTATTTTCCATTCCATACACGCGATATAGTTATACGTGTTTATGTACACGTCGCGATATAGGAGCTGCACCGTGACCCGATAGAAAAGTCGATAACACGGGCAAGGGAACGCTGATACGTAACTAAGCGCAGTGGTACGAGACGACACCGCATTTGTCGTCGAGGTTGATGATCATAGTCCGATTTACTTTTCGCGAAATGAGCGGATAAATTGCATGAAATAAATATATATACATTTTAAATAGCACTAACATTTTATTAAAATTAATTTATCTCAACATTAGATATTTTATTGTAATTATATTGCATTGCGTGACTGGCAAGAAATAAAAATTTTATCGTACAAATTAGGATACAACAGCTAATAAATACGCGTTCTCGCGTCAATTTACAACTTTTCAATTTACGTTTCAGTCGAAGCCAGTAGCATTTGCGGTGCGGACTAACGTGAGCTATGATGGATCCGTCGACGATGACTCACCTGTTCATGGTTCGGCCATCAGCTTTGACGTCCGTGACTTTCTTCACATCAAGGTACGAGCACACGTGTCCTTTGTCGTAGACTTTCTTCTTGTCGTACAATTTTAATATTTTCCTTACTAATGAACCATTTCGTTTTTTAGGAGAAGTACGACAACAACTGGTGGATCGGCAGGCTTGTAAAAGAGAATTGCGATGTGGGTTTCATCCCGTCACCGGTGAAGCTAGAGGCCTTAAGGTTACAGGCGGCAGCGGCGCGTGGCACGAAGGGCCTCTACTCGACGCGAGGAGGGTCTTCAGGGAACCTAGGCGAGAGTGGTATGCCCTCACGTGGTTCCACACCACCTACGCCAGGTACCCTAGCACGTCCTTCTTTCTTTCCCCCCGTCCAAAATTCACGGTGTACCCAATTCGGTGTACCTGATCGGGAAACTTTCTCAGCTTGATCCTCGACAGTGAGATTACAGGCGGACGGGATCGTTGCTACAGGCCGGTCGAAACAAAAATATGTGACGAATAACACTCGCTTGAGATCCTAAGTATCCCACTATTTGAGACATACAAACACCAGCTTCGAGTGCTTACATTCGCCCCCGGAAACTTTCGATCAAATCATCTTCTGTGTAGCTCACAAGCGAATAAAACATGCATGCGCGCAAATAACGACGTTTGATGTTATGAAACAATTAATAGAACATATAGAATGTTTAACATTTAACGTTTTTGCACTCCAGCAGATTGATATCAAGTTAATACTAAGGTATCCTCTTTTCTTTCATTCCTTGCGGTTTACACAGAAATATGAGCTTCTCCATTTTTGCTCTCTCGCGAGAAAAAATTGCCCACTACTGTGCTCTCGCTTCACACGCTCTATTAGTTTTCATTTCATTGCTAAAGTCATCGAGTGAGTCACCGTATTCGTGCAACTCATCAACACACACACGACTCTCAGTACTGCTGTAGCTAGCCGCTGATCTCTAATAGCTACTACTATGAGCAGAGACACTAGCATAAATTAGCAAATTATATCTATAGAATGCATCCCATCAGTGCTTTTATCATAGCTTCTTTGAGAGAAAGAGGGACTCGTCGATCTCGAAATGTAGACGAGATTTCGAGTAATCCCGAATGTATTCTTTCGACAGGTGATGACAGCGACAGTGTCGGGAACGTGCGACCTGGCAAGTCGACCCTGACGACCCTACCTGTCAAGGAGAAGCGGAAGAACTTCTTCAAGAAGCCGGTAAACGCACGGCGAGCCGCGATATCGCGCGTAACGCGTTACGCACAGCTTATCACTTTTTTGAGCTTTTACACTTGGACTTACAAGCCCTGTACGCCCACTGAACTGGCGTGATGCTCAATGATGTCATGCGTAATAATAGATGTCATACAATGGGATGTTAAAAAGATGTCTGACAACTATAGAATTGTTTGCTCCGGTATTGATTATTGCCTATGGTTTTATTTTAATACTCTTTCTTACGATTCAGATAATAGCTGTGCCCAATAGCATGATGCATTTCTCTCACGCTGGTTAGACGTACAGACAATTCTATTTAATGTTTCTATTCTTACGACACTACTGTACGATCTTTATGACACTAGGCTTTGTCCATGTCGAAGCAATTTTCTTAACAGTATTATTTTACAATATTTTTAAATAAAAATTTTATCAATAAAAATTTTTTAATTGAACAAGAAAAATAAAGTTTTAAAAAGAACTTTGAGATAATGTTGTACCAAGTGCTCTAACAGTGAGTAAATAATTTATATGGACATTGTCTAAAATATAAAAATTTACCAGTCGACTATAAATTTAAAGTTTTTGGATTAACGATTCTCTTGACCGCACAAATATAAGTAGAATTATGTCTTCAAATGTGCAATTCTGTAACATGTGTTTATTTCTTTTTAAATTAGATTCAACTTGAAAAATATTACCTTAAGATAAAGATTTGAAATATGATTAATTTTTTTACAATAATTTAAGAAAAATTATGGCATGTCAAAGATTTTACTATATAATTATTAACTATAATTAACAATCTGCGACGATTAGGAATTAACACAGATGAACTTTATTAAGGCAAATTTATATACATATATTTTTTAGAGAAAAATACATAAAATAATTACTTTAAAAAATTCTTTTAATGTTTCGCTGTATTAAATATTATAAACTGCTGAGGCTTGCTTCAATAATTTATTATATCTAAATTATTTCTTTATTTATAAAATTATTATCAAATTATTATTCAAGTGAATTAAGTAATTTTTTATTATAAAATTTCTATCTTATTTGATACAAAACGTTTTTGTATATAATAAGCATTTTATTATTTTATGTAATATTGAAGTCAATAACCGGAAACGACTGGTAAATACTTTCACTATTCTAACACACTGTTTGCTACTTCTTTTCCACTGTCACTAAGCGTACAGTGTTCGACGAGAAATTATTCCCGGGGTCGCGTGTTGTGACGAAAATCATTCATCACCGTAAGGTAGACTATAGCCGTGACGATTAGTCCGTAGGAGGCCGTTAATACCTTAGCTCGATATCATAGTTACTAACATGCTGCTTGGCCAAAGTACCTTCGGTGCTCGAAGAGGATGTCCCGTGGGCGTTCGCACGTTCAGGGAAGGACTTTGGCCGTGCAGGAGGTCGCATGTGTCAAGTCGACGTGGCCATTAACTGATTTCAATGTTTCAATGTTGCATACCGTGCTCACGCAGTCCTACGTAAGTGAGACTATCCTGGGGCCGGTTACCGGCGAACGGGTCTCGTCTCGACTGACCGAACTGATCGTTTGCTCGGATTTTCAGGAGACGACAAGCCCCTACGATGTAGTACCTTCTATGAGGCCCGTGGTACTGGTCGGGCCGTCACTCAAGGGTTACCAAATAACGGATATGATGCAGAAGGCGCTCTTCGATTTTCTCAAACATCGCTTCGAAGGAAGGTCTGTCGCAACTCCTTTCTCTATCGACCTAATCCCACCGTAATCTGACCGCTTCCTGTTACTAACAAAGAAAAACGAACAGCTATTAGTCCTAAGCATGTTGGCATTCTTTCTCGTACTAACAAGGAAAAACGTTGCCATTAATTCTTTTTACGTGTGCATCTTACGTACTAAGTCTGATTTGACCTACAGTATGCATTACTATTACGACATGTTATACACGCACTGTAATACATACTAAATATAACGTGATGAATTTTTAAATATTGAAAAGTTAATATTTAAAATTGATAAACTGTTTTTATAACACTAATTTCATTAAAAATGATTTATTACAGAATTATCATCACTCGGGTAATGGCGGATATATCGTTAGCAAAAAGATCCTTGCTGAACAATCCAACTAAAAGAGCGATTATGGAGCGGTCGACCAGCAGGAGTAGTTGTTTAGCAGAAGTTCAGCAAGAGATTGAGAGAATTTTCGAACTTGCGAGAACGCTACAGGTCTGTAAAAAAAGTATTCTAAAAGTTTTTAACATTTTTTACTTAAATTTAATTAGATATTTATTTTAATGTTACAAGTGACTTTTTTGTAAATGATTTAAATAAATACAACGAATTAATTCATGATGAATAAATTAATCAAGTCTAATATGTAATTCCAGCTAGTTGTGTTGGATTGCGACACGATAAATCATCCATCGCAGTTGGCGAAGACTAGCTTAGCGCCCACGATCGTTTACCTAAAAATTTCTTCGGCGAAAGTTCTGCAAAGATTGATCAAGACCCGAGGAAAGTCCCAGATACGTCACCTTAATGTACAAATGGTGGCCTCCGAGAAGCTGACGCAATGTCCGTTAGAAATGTTCGATGTCATCCTAGACGAAAATCAATTAGAGGATGCGTGCGAACACGTCGCCGAGTATCTTGAAGCCTACTGGAGGGCGACGCATCCTCCAGACTTTTCCACGGTACCGCGCGCCGTGCCAGCGCCCGATTCTTCGACGGATAATACGTACAACACGCAACAACGCGTGCCATCAGGTATCACGATTATCTCGATAAATCGAAGATTATTAATTACATATTTAAATAATGTTTAAAGATTCCTAAGATCTTTAGATATAAATCAAGATTTCGAACTGAATGTAAAACAAAATTAGCTCTAAATTAATTTACGATAGATTGGCGTCGCAAGAACAAAAAGTATTTGCATGTCAAGGAAATTATGTCATACAGAGTTATACAGAGTCATGTTATACAGAGAATTCCAAATCAGTCAAGGACGTTTTCGTCTCGCATGAATAATTTAATGGAATTCGAGACAATAGAAAGATTTTAAATAGCACGGATAGAATATCTCTCAATACTCGGGAGCCAATACTTCGACCATTCGGTAATGGTTTTGTGGAAACCGTCCAAAAACCCGTTGAGAGACACGGTAGAAATGTAAAACCGACGATGATTTAGGACGATCTGTCGCTCTTGGCAGCGACATCGTGTATGATGTAAATCAATGCGTAATATGTCGATTGACGTCTTTGGCACTGTCGAGCGGAAATCGAACTTGTCTACGAACATATTTGGCAATGTTTAAAAGCTAACTAGAAATCGAAATACTCTGGCTTCGAGAAAATTGTCGTATTGGTCAGGGTATCTCGGAAAAATAATTTTGAGAAACATTATTAACACGCATTTAACTATCTCATAATACGCAAACCATTTATACGTTTTACGTTACGTGTCTCGAAATGCCTTTTTCAAAATCCTGACTCTTGCTCGCGCTTTTTAACCCTTTTAAATCTAACTCAATCTTGTCACTAACAATTGATTCTTCTCCTCTTAGGTGTTTCTCATGACTCTTACTATCGTCGAAGAGGTAATCCAATATTTTCCTTGAGCATATTTTTGCACTCTCGTATTCCTTATTTTTCGTATTTCCTTCATTTGGCACATATAGCTTGCTAATTGCACGTCGACGTTGCATGAAATCGTTTTAGAACAATTTAGAAAATAGAATCTGTCATGAAGACTTGCTAGAAATAATTAGTTAATACAATTCTATGAGATTTATACATTTATTATGATTACTAATGCTATTATTATTATGTACATTCATGAATTTCTATTATTTTATTGTAACACAATTTTAAATTTCCATACATGAAATATAGCGATTTTTTACATAATTTATACATATATCAGCGTTACATTCTGTTTTCTAATAATTTTAAAGAGCTATGTATATATTTTTATTGGCATTATTTTTATATAATATAATTTTTTTAATTACATGTGATTGATATTCGTTATAACGCAATTTCAATACACTTGCTCATTTTCCAATTCTCTATAGAAAATTGTGATGCATAATATTTTATGCATGTACATTATATATGTATTTTGATTTTTGAAATTACTTATTGCATATAACTTTATTTGCAATTTATATATAATCGTATAATATTATGATCTTTTTACAAGATCTATGTCTATCAAGATATGTCTATTAAGATATGGTCTAGTCGTCTTCTAACTTCGCATTCCATTCCACTTATTCACCGAAGAGACAACACTATTGATTAAAAATGTCTCTGCATCAATCGTATAATTGTTTAATAACCATTAAATCAACATCATCTTATCCTGACGTTATATTTCTTTTCAGCGGCAATGTACGGATCGAACGTATCGGGTCGATAAGAACTTGTATCCAGTGCAGTAATGCCGAGGCGCGTTTATCTCTTCCGTTAGTGCGGATGAAATTCTACATTTCGTTTTTATTTGTGTAATCGCTTCCCCAAGTCTTTTCGTACAATCAGCAGAAACTCTTTCCTTCCTTATACTTGATGTATTTAATCATTAAACATGCTTACTTTATTTAATAGCAACTTACTTCGTGCACATTGCGCTATTTATCATCGATCACGAGTGGATTTCTTTTATTAATATTAATATTCCAATTAAAATATTTTTAAAGACAAAGAGAGAAAATACTAATTTTTAAATAATTTCTCAATATTTGAAAATTCTATTTATACATATAATGTACATATAAAAATTTTATTCCTACAATAATTTTATGTAAGTAATTTACAAGCGCAGATTTTTTAGTGTTTGATGAAAATTTTAATATTTGTTTTTCTATAAAAAAAAAATTAGACGCGGTAGAACTTGACTTTTTCGAGTATTTACAATTTAATTCATTCTGTGCTGTATTTTACGCAAATCAAGAATATACATTCGAAAGAAGTTTTCAAAATCCACGCGTTTTCAAACTGTGCCAAATTAATATCAAAGCGATCGCGCGAGACAAAGAGCTAATGAGAATTACACATAATTTTATTTCTCCTTTTCATTAATTTTCTTTACAAACATCTGTACTACTCGGCAATTTTAAAACTTTCTACGCCGCACTGTGGTTCAACGTACAAAGAAAAAGTTTTATCCACGATTGAATGTCGTGAAAGGTACACACAGATTATCGGCTTTCTTGTCATCAGCAACGAGCTCTGACTCCGATGTTCTCTTTGTTTACGTGTAAAAGTGGAGGCGGTGGCTGCCACGGGAGTCATCCGAAAACACAACCACTAGCAACTTGGTCGCGGTGACCAAGAGACCAAGACGAAACTGTCGAGTTAAGAAGACCCCCGAGTGCGGGACATGCCTGTGTCATTGTGCGGCCGTTTCCTACTTCCTGTTTCATCGCGGATGCGATTTTATGCGGCATTAAACCGACCGAATTGTACGCTTCGGCCCGTGAATATTTAATTCTGGGTGTGGATGCGATTGAAAGAATTAGAGAAAACTGTGTAATAGGGATAAGGGCGCGTAGTAAGTACAGATGGGTTTGGTGCATGGGCCCGGAAACACGGAACCGACCCGATTTTATTTCTCTCGAGCAGAGAAAATGATTTATGTTTCCCCATTATTTTACTCTTCTTTATGCGGTGGAGTAACTACGGGTTCGTCATAGAGAGCAATCAAAGATTTTCTAGAATGTAAGACTGACGTGAATTAAGATTCAAGTTTCTTATCCTGTACCTGCTCTATTTAAAAGTTTATTGTCAAACGCAAAATTGCGAAAATAGTTTTCAAAATATGAAACTGTCTAATCAGTTTTTAATATTTTTTCAATTTTACTACATACTTTACTATATATTTTACTACAATAAAAAAATAAAGTCAATTATTTTTATTCGTGCAAATAAAGTCATTTATATACAAATAATTTGATTTATATCTGTGACAATAAAATTTTTTCTAATATTTTAATTATTAATTTTAAGTATTTAAGTATAATAAAAATTATAGAAGTCATTTGATTGCTACTATATTAGCGCAATTACGCCACTGTTATTCATTTCATTTTTTTGCTCCTATTTCAATAGAATTCTATCTCGGCTAAACTTCTACGATATACTTTCTATTTGCAAATCATTCCAAGTCTTTAAAATTAATATTCTATATTATGTATTGTTTATAGCAAAATAGAAGCCATTGGCTTTTATTTCTTCTAGTTTCTATCTTATCTTTGAGATTATGTAAAATCTAATTATGTAAAATCGATCTAGGCTACTTTATAGTAGACAAATAATTGATATTTGCTTTAATATTTCTTTATTTGCGTCGAAATTTTTAACGCGTCACGATTAGAAGTCTAGCCTTGTATATATTTGTTTTATTTGATATGTTTCGCAAGCCCTTCACCAACCCCTTTCATATAGAATAGGACTATAGTGTAGAGATTATCTAACGTTAGAAAGAGAGAGAAAGAGAAAGAGAGAGAAATTAACGACGTAGCAGCGTGAGTCGAGAGGACAGAAGTTATGAAGGGTTTCTTTATCCGTCGTGGATCTTATGCAATCTGTATCGTCTCGCGTGATTTATGTTTCGAGATTGCATCAATGTATCGATGCGTACACGAGTACATTCTTCTACTTCTCGATTTCTGCGTACCTGCGCAACGGTAGTTTCGAACGTCGGAGTCTTTGCGCCGTACCTTCTTTTTTTTTATTTAGTCTTTTTTTTGCTTAAAGCTTGCATGAATTAGCATGAAGTAGCATGAGATGTTGGAATGAAATTGGCTGAATTCATCCCTATTGCTCACAACAATAATCATCCAGTACCCAAGTGACGTTCGTTTTTACGTAGGATAGAGTTTGAGTGACGTTGTTATATGCAGATAATTTTTTTGCGGTGCAATTTGTATTTTTACAATTGATAATTTTTTAATAATACGAAACAATTTTTTTACTCTAGTAAAAAAATTAAAAATAAGAAGAGAAAGCTCTTAGTCACACATAAATATACAATTTACCGTTTTATCATTAGCAACGCGCATAAATTATTTATGATAGATTTGATTTGCTTAACTTAAAACCCGCATTAGCGATTACATTACTTTTCAATCATTACTCTATTGATCTGTTTTTTTTTTGAGAAAACAATAAATATAAAATAGATACAAAATTTGCGAAGATGACAAATTTTCGCTTGAGCAAGACGTGTGGATGTGACTCTGTAGAATTAAAATCTAATCTTGCTCTGTCTTTAATCCAGGGGGCAGAGAGGACGGAACGAGAAGATCGCGGATGGATCGGGCGGATCGTGATCGCGATCGAAGCGATCGCATGGATCACGAGTACGGCGAGGGGGCACATGGCGTTGATTATGGTAGCACGTCAAGACGTCGCCAGCAGCAGGACTCGCGTGCCGCGAGTCATAATGCTATTTAGGAGCTGGGGCCCCGGGGCCTGTCGCTTCAGCGCTGTCCCCATCTGCGCACCACCGCCCTTTAGCGGGCTCGCCTCCCGGTAACGCTATCGAACGCTAGGAAGTGCGCAACGCTACCTCGCGATAAGATCGCTGCGCTCTGTTAGTGGGGGCTGTTTCCTATCGCGTTACTCTACGCCACAGCGGTTGGCATCACGACGCTACTTTCGGCCAGATTTTCGTGTCGGCGCCCACTGTCCCCGACTGGAGGAAACTGAAGAACTTCGATACGCTACCAGTCGCCAGCAGCGTGCACGTTTTAATCCCGGAGAACATTTCGCGCTTGCATTTTTTATTCGCGCCGCTAACAAGGAAAAGTAATAAATTGCAACGCAAGGATTTTATTGCTGCTTAATTAGAGAACACGATTCAGTTGCGACGTTTAATAACCGTTGGAAAATTTTCTGGCATGCTCTAAACATGCATCCTTATCTTCCGAAAGCTCTTGCGTCTTTAATAATACACCTATATTATACGCTGCTGTTATTCCTCTTTAGATTACTGAATACTTCAATAACGTTCGCGATCAACTTACTTGTGTAATTATACTTTATTAATAATGAACAACAAAGACGGGTTTTCACTATAAAACTTCTCTTCTCTTTTTCTTCTTCTTCTTCTTCTTCTTCTGCTATTGATCATCAATAGCGTGGCACATATGGTTATCGAGATATCTTCATTCCGCTAAATCTAAATCGCTTATCGTCGAACTGCAAAGAATTGAAAGCGAAAGCGCTGCCCTTAATAGTATTATTGTTGAATGAATTCCATTAGCGCGTTACAAATTCCACAGTTTCGCACACATTATCTATATAGAAACATATCTTCACCTTCATACGTCGCGTCTTCGCCAATTAATGCCCCGATCGATATATCACGAACGCGTATATCACTCTGGCGATGTCATCCACAATTGCAGACTTACGCCACTCATTGATCGTACCAACTACCGAACTATCCTCACGCACAAATTACCATCGAGATGTACTTGTCTGATGACGTATGCTTAAGGGCTCTGCTGTATTACGTAGAGGGAACATGTCAACCGCTCATTATAACGATTAAGCGTACTATGCCAAACGTATCAAAATGCTCACCGTACTAATTGCCGGCCACGACGAAGTGCACGCATCGTTTCGAGATGCACGTGACATCTTTTACGCTACTTTATATATACGGAAAGGAAGATAACGTTGTTGGAATAATATTGTAAAAGAGAAAAAGACACACATACACACTTGACTGCATTCGGTACTCCTCGTTAAATACGCTACTCAAAGTCGTTCATATATTCAACCAAATCGACACTGTGCATTTATCACGTACGAAGTTACTGCAGAACTTATATTCTCGAACCTTTTTCGAAAGTCTCACATTCAATTAAGAAGAAATAACTCGAAAAGTTATCTGAAAACAATATCGATTTCATTTTCATAATCTCTGCATAAAATTGGTTCTTAACCAAATCATTTTGAAAATTGGTTGAAATAAAATTACAATCAATTATCGTTAATCGAAAATCTTCGTATACACATGTACACACATTCTTCACATTCTATATCTTCGATGGACTATTTACGAACACAAGTTATTTGCCAAACTAAAATTATTGCGATAAGGATGAATTTCTTTTAATATTTACGTACGATTTTCCAATTAGCGAGTTTTTAACGCGAATAGTTAAGGGTTCGAGCGTAGTTTAATGATCGTTGAAACAAACGATTGATCCCAACAGGAGTTCTAGCCGATTCGAAATAATCTTCCGGTGTCCTTGTCCGCGTTGCAATATACGCAGGACAAATTCCCCATTCGCGGAATCAGCTCAACGACACTAGTAGACGCGCGAGACAATCGCGTGGGACGAGGAGACCAAGATAGAAAGTGCACTCTCGAAATAGAGTGAAAAGAGCCCTGGGGCCTTAAATCCCTGCACCGACTCCTCCCGGGCCCTCCTAAAAAAAAAGAAAAACCAATGTCTTTATGTCGAATCGGCGATCGACGATCGACACGGTATCGAGTATTTCTTATGAACAACTTACGAAGCGCAGAGATTTGACTTCTCTCGTAGAATTTAATTATAAGAAAAATGATAATGACCATTATAATAATTACGATTGATATAATTAAAATTAATGAGATCGCCTAGAGAAATAATCTATGATCGGTTGAACGGCTAATTTTATTAATAGCTAAATCAGTTGATAATCAAGGCAAAAGGAGAGCTTTAATAAAATTTCACAGCTGATTATAGATATTTTAATTTGATCGTCGATCGATTGATATAGCCAACGTAGTCGCCGTAAGTTTACGATATCGCTGGAAGAGCGATTCGCGGTGGACGCAGCTCGGTAATCTCGAATTTGATCGTAGAAATTGAAACCCATTGTCGATTGCGACGACGACGCGACGTAGCTGTAGCGATTTTAACGATCGATATAATGATACTTGCTATCGATCACGTAATTAAATTAGACGAACTAACATAGAAACGAAATTGCTCTGGAAAACGGTTGAAGACGGTTTTTGATTTTACGAGACGGCAGTATGGCTTTCGGAATTGGATAAAGGTATCGGTATACCGAATTCTATGAAAGTTTTCGATTTTGATCAGGCGCGTCAACGATCTAGCGCGTCTCTCTATATGACGCGTTTATACGTAAACATCTGTTGGAGCTATGGAAAAGTATATGAGACACACACACACATATATTGTACATCAAAGAAAACGATTTGTGTACATATATACATACAAATTGTACACACAAGTGACAATTCCATCTATAATCACTCGACAAATTTTAATCGATAAAAGAAGATTAAATTATAGATGTTCAGCAGAGATGTGAATAAAAATTACTTGGCTTTTCTAAGGATAATTATAGACTGAAATTATGAATGCAATTTAAAATATTATAGTACAATTATAATTTTCAATGTATATGTTATATTACTCGTTCACTATTGGCTTGATATAATGCACTATTTATTAATTACAAAATATTTCATTTGCTTCTGAAACATTTAGTTGAGACAATTCTGAAAATCTAAATTATTCTTTTGTGTGACAAACATCGTATTTTTACTCACATTTTTTTTACTAATCGCGTTATGTAAATACTGTAAGAAGCTTTTACGATTACCGTTCAAATTTTCATTCTTGCAGCATTGATAACGCTGGGAATCGGCATCTAGCTGAGAAATAGTTGATAATTAAATATTTAATTTGTTTTTACACTAAAATATAATAAAGATTATTTATTGCATTATACGGGAAATTCTTAATACGTAACATCGCGGATATCTCGTCGATTCCAATCTGTGGAGCGACCAACTGTGGTGAAAAATAGAATAAGATCGATCGTATCGGTCCATTTTGCAGGTTGCACGAAACATTTCCCGTCTAAGACGATATACGATTATCCTATATTTTCGAGAAAGTAAAGATAACACTTGACGTAAATAAAAACGTACAAACATTTTAAGGCATTCTTAAGGCAGCCAAAATAGCTCGGAATAGATTACGGCATAAGTCGTTATTTAGGGTAATTAATCTCGAAAACTTTTCCTATATATTATAGGCGGTGGTGCATGCATTTTTGATTAGCGGTATCACATATACATTATGTACGTTGCTGTACAAATTAGCGTAAACTCTAGCAGGGTAATCTTGGAATAATTTTTAAATGTTCCTTCGGGAATCGAGTAACAATTAGCGATTCTTTTTTTGTGTGCGATAAGGAACTTTTTAAAAGTACGCGTATTATTTATATAAGTACATTTGTTTCATTTTAATCGCCGCAACTTAAAAGGCATAAATACATTTGGCATGTTTCTTGCGATTGATACATTTATGAAAATTACGAAATGTCGAATTGCGATTTGAATAACGCAATTAGATTACTTTGGTGTTTGGTGGTTTGCTACTTAAACGTTAGATAAATACGTATGATCGGCGAAGAATTTAGTGTTTGAAAACTGAGTTTTGTGTGAATAATAGTATGAAATACATATATCCTTAATTGGTATCAATTTTTAGCATATTTCTTGTTATTTTATAAATAAAATTATTTTAAAGGGAGAAATATAATAAAAATTTTTTAAAATCTTTCGTATAAATTTTATAAAACTTTATTTTTATTAGAGAGAGATAGAGAACGAGAGAGAGAGTGAGAGAGAGAGAGAGGGAGGGAGGAAGAGCATTAGATCGCGAATGAACTTACCAGTACATTATTTTACAAACTATTAATGCGAGAAATTTAATTTTGTCGAGATATTGTGTTACGTAACATTTTGTCGCAGTCGACGATTGGTACCAATTAAGAACACGTCTATTGGGGGAAACATGATTGATTTGCGCACGCTACGATCATGTACTATGTTCGTTTGTCGTTTCTAACATTTGAATCTTAGATAGGTACATATTTATACGGATATTGTCTCTCTGAAGCATCTCGAAGCTTCGCATGAGATTTGGTGCCGACACAAATTATCGCGCCAAAATTGCTTATCAGTGTTGAGAAATGTAAATTTTATCTTAGGGAGAAATTTTGTAAAAAGAATTACAGATATATATAAATATCTAACGTCGTGTGTTAGATATTTAAGTAAGAAAACAGTGGAGAACAGTGGAAGTTCCGATTCTTTAATAAACACTCGAAATGCAAAATCATCGCTGAATCTTCTCGATGTTCGTAACACATTTCGACGCTATTTCGAAACGGATTCGAATGCAATACGTTACGAGATAATTTACTATGGAATCGTTTCGCAGCCCAGATTTGTATATAATAGATAAATACGTTTCGTCAATCGCTGTGAATCTATATAAAAAAAATTCACGCTGTTTTTTGCTTCCAACAACAAGTTCATTTCCCATGTCAAATGAGACCATCCCGAGGAAATGCGAGTACATACGAATATTTTCGATATAAAGAAGTCCGCTTAATTAATTTTCAAATGTGCTTATAAGTAGTAGTGATTTAATAAGAAAAGGAACTTTCGAACATTTGCATTTGTTTTAGAAAGGAACACAGTTGCTAATAAAATATTCATATATTATTTAATTATTGTTAAAATTTGGCGACTATATTTTTGTCGACCTACTTTTGCATATATCTTTATTTCCTGTTCTTTCACTGTTACACAAAACAAATTGTTACATGGTATGATTTTGCAGGAAATAAATTTAAAGCATATTGGCTAAAATACATTTTTTATAAGAACTAATATTCTAGATTATTAATTTATATATTATATCGAAAAAAACAATCCTGTAAAGCGGTATTCTGTAGATCGAGAATATCGTTCGATTGATTGATTGATTCTGCTTGTTTGTGGACAACAGGTCCGAGCAAAGCCCGTAAACAATAGTTATATAGTTGTGCAAGATGTAATATCTCATAGATATTTTTTAATTGTCAAGATGGAAATTTTTATAATATTTTGTAACTCCTCAGAATATAAGCAGCGATGAAAATTTACACCGTGAATATATTGACTCATATAACGTACACATACGCATCATATACATATACGGAAACGTTCCTCTAGAGGAAGTGCATCTGCGGCGAGAATATTTGATTTGAATTTACGACTTAGCTGCTTCGATTCATCCGCGGTTACTTTCCGCATCGTTAATAATATTTCTATGTAACGCTCAAGTAGCGCCGAGAATTCAGTATGTAGCTTGATGAAGACGATCCTAAAAATACCCCACATCCTTCGATCACAAGTGCTTAGAAGATCGTTGTTCGTAGTTTCCGCGTGTAACTACATGATTGACTCAAAACCTCGTTGGAATGAAAAGTCGCGTCGTCGAATTTTGAAACGAACAGAATTTTTCGTAGAATATCGATGAAATTCTTTATTTATTCCTGTGAAGTTATATTTATACAGAATATTCCATAAATTGAAGTCAATCACTCGGGGGACTCAAAAACAAGAAAGAAAGTTGACATGAACATGGGTTTGAAAACGCATTTTCAAATTTGCATTGTTATCGCCATTTTTACGTTGAAATTTGAAATTGCTTTGTTTTGGAATTTTTTGTCAAAATTAAAAGAAGAGATAATTTTGTAAGTTTTATAACATAATTAAAGTCAAATAAGTTGCGAGCAGCTTTAGCACCCAAGATGCATCACGTAGAGGTACAGCCAGCTAGTATCCCTTGGCAGAACAAGAACGCATTTCCGGATCTACGTTCATATTAACTTTCTTTCTTGTTTTTAAATTCTCATTAATCTCCCGAATGATTAATCTCGACTTACGGACACTATACATATATGTATAAAATAAATTACAAATATACTTTAACTTTTTATAATAGTTTGAATCGAACAGAAACTTTTTAGATTAATTTATATCACGAAAATTTATGTCATCGCGCGCACAAATTATCCAAAGAGAGTGTAATCTCGCCTTTACAAATTAATTTTTTTCGAGATTCGGCGACTCGATCGAATGTCTTGTACAGACATGCATTTACGTATAGAGAGCCCCGTCGTCTAGGCGTTCTTAGATAAGAGGCTTTGATTAATCGAGGATGATCATAGACGAGGCGAAACACTACTGAAAGTCGAATTGGGAACATACGAATTTTCTGAAGACTAAAAAAAAAATGATTCTACGAATATCGACGTTAGGTGAAAGAGACGAAGGCTGGAATACGTTATGAAGTAGGCTACGAATCTTCGATAATGTACTTGTTGTACGAATTGTGCGCGTGTAGGACGTGAACCGACCTGATAATTGCGTGGGATTTGGTTCGCTGGCTCGCACTGTGTGCATGTAATAATAATTATTCGCTTACAATTAGTTAGTTGATTACGGCATCGTATCGTCGACGGGTGCTCCTAGTCGCCTCTCACGCGATCGATGCGTTCGCTCGCAAAGTTATGGATCTAAATATTTATTTGTTGGAACGGGAAGAGAGAAAGAAAGAGAGTTTAACGGATTGATTGATGCTGTTTGATTCGTGTTGATAATTAAACGATGATTGCTTATACGACTAAGTATTTTGTCGCACCGTGTGCACGCGGATTTGTAAGGAGACGATGGAGTTTAAGGAGATCACCTCTAGCTTCGAGTACGATCAGATCGGTAATCTCGAAGCTACCGGCGGATCTAATTTTGACTTTATACAACGTGCGCGGGGATGTAAAATTTTTACGGATTCATCGTGGCGGAGTCGTCGACGACTTTGATTGTCGTAACGATGGATTGCGGGAACGATCGAGAGATCTCTTCGGGACGACGACTAATTTCTATTGACTAATTACGCGCTAGGACGACTCTCGAATGTTTAGTAACTATTTGATTAATTCATATTTGTAGAGCGTATTTGTAGAGTAATTCTATAGTCACAATATTACAATTTGTGGTGATAAAATAGGATTCTATTACGATCTTGCCTCATCTTAATTTAAGTTATGTTTTAAGATAAGATTTATGTGATCGACATTATGGATTTTTATTGGTCACTTTTGGTAGCTCGCAACGCTACTGATGCGCCGAGTCGTCGACGATGATTTCTCTCGTCTCGTCCCATCGACGATGTTCACTGAATGTAACTCCATATGGTTGGAAGGTCCAAACGAGGATTGAGCACAGGCCTTATTAGGTGTTTTCGCGCGATGACGAAGATGAAGCGAGCGAAACATTCGGCCGATGCAAAAATCCTCTCAGTATGATTAAAATACTGCGAAATGTTCTATCCTTGTATCGAGGCTTAACGGCATAATATTGTTGATGGTATAATGTGGTTTTGAAAGTATATCTATATAGCGAAAAGAGGAAATGCGGTATAAGGCTGCTACGGCGTTATGTATCGGCCCGAATCGACGTAATGTTTTTATTCTTAAATATATATATATAAATTATAAGACAAATAAATTTTATTAACCCAATGATATAATTCGAAAAATTGATGTATTACGTAAAATAATGTATGTTTAGATGTTATTAATTTGTAATCTTCTATAAGTATTTAAAAATGCGAAGTATAGCTTTTTTTATAAATCTATATCGTTAATTGAATATAGTTGTATTAAAACGGAAAGTGATTTCTAAATAAATATTGTTAGCGCAAAACCGTAACTTCTCCAAAGTTACTAGTACGTATTGTTGAAGAGATCAAAAAACTTTTCACGCGTGTATCGCGAGAAACAATCGTCAATTCGGGCCGATCGGCGCTTGTACGAGGATTAGATGCAATTCTGTCGCGTGTGTAGGAATCGTGTCAAAGGAATGATAAACTTCGTGCACGCGCGAGCGTCCTCGATAATTCCCTTTCGTGGCTGGTTCGTCGGATCAAAGATTTTCTCTGTATATTATCTATATTATTGTCACACAAATGCGGTCGGTGTCGCCCACACTGATGAGCGCGCAGATGTTTTAAGCACGTGGCAGAATGCTCCACGTGATCCACCCGCGATCCATCCGTTTTCCTTGAGAAAAAAAACTTTATTTCACTATTGTTGCACCGATAATGAAAAAAGCGAGAGAGAGAATGAGAGAAAGAGAGAGAGAGAGAGAGAGAGAAAGTAAAATATTTGATATGATAAGAGCTATTATGTTGGATTGTGTCAATCACATATTAATATTATTCGATTGTACATCTAATTGTAACGATCGCAAGATGAATGTAAAGTGGATCGTGAAGAGAAGAGAGAAAGAGAGCGAGAGAATATATGCATACGTACGTGAGCGAACGAACGAGCAAATGAGAGAGTACGGCTTGCGTATAATGCGTGGTAATTTGTTCGGAGATGGAATTGAGACGTCTCTAATTAACGAGATATTGTAAATTGTTCTATAGCAAAACGTGAAAAAAAGGCGCTACGGCCGTTGCAACGCACTCCTCGAGAGTCCCCGAGGTGAACGCGGACGGGGACGTCTCTCTTCGGACTGCAAACATCTCATGAGCGAGCGGGGAAGCTCGTCGTAACGTTTCGGTGATTTTCGAGGGACGAGCTGCTCCGACCGTTTCGATGTTGATATGTCAATGCTGTGATGTTATCCTTTGATCTTTAAACAAGAAAGAAGCTATATTCCCAGCCCGCCCCCTCCCCCGACACGCCCCACCTACTCTTACCGATCCCTTTCCCCTTGAACCCCCCCCTGAGAGATCCTGCAACACAGGATGAACCTTGAGATACCAAATATTTCTATTATTGTAATTCCACATAACCCTTAAAATAGATTTTAATCGTACTTAATGTCAAGATTATGATTGTTAACAACTCAGTGATTCTTTCCTTCGCCAGTGATGTCTCGGAGAGACGAAAAGCGAAAGTGAGAAACTCGTTTCGCACTCCGAGGAGGAGATGCCGAGAAGAAAGCATATTTTACAAAATGTTCGTCATAGCGGACGGCCGATCGATTCTCTCCCGCACGTCACTGGCACCCGAATTCCTACATCTGTCGCATTTGTAAATAAAAATTTTTATCATCACATAACACCGAGACAATTTGTATTCTCTTTAGATCGTTCTTGATCAACTGAAAAGTATTTTGATGATGCGATATATATTTGACGAATAGGGTGCGGAAGATAATGAAGAGAAATATTTCATGCAACAATAGATAAGGAGCTTTCATCGTAGAGAAGGAAGAGAGATTAATTGTTTACCGTATATTATAATTAGAGTGCTAAAGCTCGTGAGATTTTATCGTGAGTCTTTTCAACTGTTATTCACGTACGTATCTACAATTGCTTTCATATGCATTGTTGCTAATTTAGTGTGGAATCTCCTTTCTATTTTATTTTACTTTTGTTATATTGTTGAGGAACATGACATGTTTAGTGTTTTGGATAAGTAAACAAAAGTGGCTCATCGTGAAATCTTATAAACCTACACGCGCTCTACTTATAATTGTATACTCAGGCGAAATAAAAACATAGAAAATAATTTAGGACACATGAATCATTATTCGTATTCTCTCTTATAAAGTATAAACGGACAATACAAAAAGATATTTACACTTTTTTTTTTACGTAGGTACATTAATTCGACATATAAAAGTTTGACGTGAAATCATGTCGACACACACATCGTTACGTTGACGTACATATCAAAGACTCCAATAGATAAATGCACATTCGGCTGCCTTATTCGACACATGCGTTGTGTTATTCTATCCTTTTATATACGTATCGTATCGAGAAGCTCTTTGGTAATAAAATATTAAACGCACTTCGGTGAAAAAAATATTCCTCCGTATATGGGAAGGAATTACGATGAAGTCGCGTGAATCACCATTGTCGCACAGTGACTTTTATAGCATTCCAAATGATTTTAAATGTTAATTCAATGCGATAAAATTGTTTGCCTTTTGCGATAGCGGAAGAAATGTGTTTACAATTATCGTAGGCCAATTCCTCTGACGTACTGCAAATTACGTTTCTGTAATCACTGTTTCGTAAGCGATTGCAGGAGGAACGATAAATGTATTATACGTATATTGAAAGTGGTTATTACAATTTCTCGCGAGAATTCTAATCGAGATAACAGCGACTTACTGTTACTCATTGTTACTTAAATATTTTCCGTAATGTTTATAACACGTCCGGTATCCTGTCTGGATATCGGATTGCACGAAATTTTGAGTAGATAGAAAAGTATTAATAATTTAAAACCTTTTTTAAACGAGCTTAACTAAATGCCTTTTACATACTTTTTACATTACATAAATAAATATTAATATTTTCTTTCCTTCTTAATCATCTTTTGTGCGTAAAAATTTAAATTGCTCCACGCAAGCCTTTATTTTCGAATCACGGTTTTTTTTTTACTGAAGTTACTTATCGGCTAACGTTATAGAAAATATACAATAAAGCAATTTATTATCAAGGTATTGACTTGATATTTTTCTTGTTTGAACGTAAAATAAATGTTTATAAAAATTATCGAAATCGTATTTCAGATTTGGTTAACTCTACACATTTTTACGAATGCAAGACATATTTATGTGTATATGTATATATACTATATGTATCTAAAATTGTGTACGTCTACCTTTGGTACAATTTCCCTCACACTACTATAACTAATATCGTAAATTCTCTTTGTTCAATATTATCAGCCTTTGATCAGCTGAAATACAAGTGGCAAACGAGCATTTAAACAATTGCAATTTAATCATTTTCTTGAACTTTTATAGGAAACATCCAATATTTATCAAAATATTTAATGTTTCAGAAATTTCTAAAATTTTAATCAAATATTGCAACGCTGCCGAAAATAATTATTCTTTGATATTCCTTTAATGAGCTTCATCAAACTATAGCAAAATTAATCAAAACAAGTGAGAACAACGGTAGTTTAAAGATGTGTTCCACAATTCACTGCCAGTACTGATAATCTATAACTAGTTTGAACTTTCATGATCTCGATTCGATTTCATATTAATGTTTATTATACGTCTGAAAAATGACGTTTCTTTTCTTATTTACCAGTTATTACGATAAATATTGTCACATGCCTCAGTAGAACGGTAAAACGCCCGTCCGGAAAATAGAGAGGTCCAGGTTCATATCCAGATTGAGATAATATTTTTCGCAACAAGCTATTCTGCAGAATGTTATAAAATGCATTGGCATCAAAATTATTTAATTGTTAATTTAATTTGTGATATTATGTAGTCCAGATTCAGTTTAGAGCTGTGTTTGAAGATCGACAAATATTCGCGCGCGGTTTACTTAAAATTGTAAAAAAGATTCACACAATTATTATTAAGCACCAAGATCTGCTTCCAAGACCGCTTACGGCATTCTAACAATTTATGTAGTTTGAAAATCTATAGCTTATGTTAATGCATTATAAATTTTCAGCACTGATAGTGAATTTTGGAATACAGCCTAAATCTATGTCTCTGCAACAAAAGAAGGCAAGCTACCTTTTTTAATAAAAATCGAAGGTACACGTTTGCTCGCGCCTCATAGTGCTCTTAGTATTCGACGATCTAAATATTACATACAAAGACAAAGACGCTCGGACAGTCGCAATGTACGTTTCTCGTATCTTCGACGAGTCTCTGGTAACTCTGACCGTTTCGCGGGGTGAACTTTTGCGATCGACGACGCAGCTTCTATATCGATTTTGATCGCGTTTACACAAGCGCGGTTAACGATTCGATCTTATATAAAGAGATAATTCTCGTAATCGGCGTAGGAGGAAGCAGTCACGTGTTTCGTCGAGCGCGGCGTCGATGGAACGCTCTGTGGGAATTGCTGCAACCGCGGCAGCTGCACCTGCGGAAGATCCGTTCCGCGAGATACGAAGATTCGCGATGGGGTTTGACTGATGGAACCTAACGACGACGAGTGATGCTGACCCCCATGAATGATATTATTGTTGCTGCTGTTGTTATTATTATTGTTGTTGTTAGCGATAACGCTAGTTTTTCCGGCTAGATGATGTAGGCTCAAGTGATTGTTGTTTTCGATTCTCGGATTGTAGTGGATAGGAAGACTGTCATGGAGATTCAGCCTCGACATCGCCATGGTGATGCTTGAATCCGACGCCCACATACTCTGAAATGACGACCGTATTGTGTAACAGATTTGACTTTCTATCAAGCTCTTATGAATAATTCTGACGACAGCGCAATTACACGGACATTGGATTTTACGATTACGATTTCTTTGTTTGAGTGCGCAATTGTCTCCCTGCTTAAAGATTGACGACAGAGAAGACAGACGCTGAAGCTGACTCACTAGCATGAGACAAGTTCTTTATATACATATATAGACAAAGCATTATAAGACCGTACATTCTTTTCATGAATATTTCTTCCAAGATCAACAAAGTATAATACCAAGAATTACTCCGGTTACGTTATTTTAGCCAAAAGTACTTTCGAAAAATTGCGTCAATTACTAAATTAGCGAATTTATTGCCGTACCCTCCGCCTATGCTGGTTATAATCTGGATTACGCCTAATGCGAAGATGTCGATCCGCGCTGGTCCACCGTTGTGTGACCTTGAGGGGGGAATCGTCGGGGTGTAATTTCCTTTGGTACTCTTCACCTTCGCAGACCTCGTAGAGAGAGAATTGCTCCACCGGTTCTTTGGAGCTATAGCAACTCAGCAGCATTTGGATCAGCTCGTCTACGGTGGTCTGCTCCGAGACCAGAAGGCTTTTGTACTTAGACTGCGAACAATAAACCGTGTTTACTCACAATCACTGCAATACAGACTCTTTGAGTAATAATTTTACTACCACGTAAAACGCTTCGAAAAAAAAAGTTAATCTCAGTTTTCCAACATATTTCTTATTCTTAGAAGTAGAATTATTAGCTTTGAAAATAAACAGTATATATAATCATGCAAAAAATAATTCATAAAACTAGTTATTAATAAATGTATTAATTTATATATATTAATTATATTTCTTATTTTTGCGTTACATTATACATGCAAAGCCATTTACAATTTAATATAAATTACAAGTTTCTTTTATAACATTTTTCTTCTTATATGTACAACATTTCACATTAGAATTTAGTTTATTAATATTAAAATGCAGTCTGTTACGTTTCTATTTATTTGTACAAAAGTAAATATTTATTTACCCCGGACATAAGTGCGCTGTCGTATATTTTGACAAGCCCGCCACGGTGTGTCTGCAACGAAAACCTGCGAACAAGAAGGTGGCATATATAAGCACGCGAGTTTACGCATCAGAGATTCTACGACATCGGCAGAAGTCGGAGAGTTCAAAGGACACCAACGAGCTAGCGTTATTTCTACGTAAAAGCACCGGTTCACGTCGGAAGACAAACGCTCTCGTCCTGCCCTATTACGCGTATAGTCGCGCGCGCCGGAAGTTTCAAACTACCGAGAAAACACCGCGTCGCGTCGAGATTCCTTCGCAAATAAACCGTTCTACTCATCAAAGAGCTACATTCGACCAATCTTTTTATAAGCCGGTGGAGTTGCAATAATATTTTTCATGCGCACTATAATGCCGTATCATGCCGCAACTTCTGCGTTATACGACTTTATACGATACGCGCGCGTGGAATTTTAAAAATATCTCCTTGATGTCCTTCTGTCCTTCCCAACGATCTATAACATTTACAACCGAGATTGCTGTCAAAATTCCATGAATTCCATTTTGTTTCGCAATCGAACAGCCATATTTACACTCCTCACGAACCGTATATCAAGGATTTACAGCGACCCACGCGACCACTTGCGCTCAAGAGTTATATCAGCGAGCAACGCGCAGAACGTCGGCCATTGTTAGCTCGTGCTTGCAGCGGCCTACGGAATGTGTTTATAGTCGCGAGCCCTGAAATTACGTCACGAAGCCGACCGAAACCGAAAGGGCCGGTGGTCAAGTACAAAGGCAGACAAGGGAAACGTACTTGGAATCGCCGCGAGGATGGCAGGACTGCAGGACGGCCGGCCGCGCGTCCTCGTCGAGCGGCAGGACGGTACGCACATTGGCCCTCCTCACGGTCACCTCCATGGTCAGATAAAACAACCGGGGGTCGCGGTGTCTCATGCGATACTTGTTCAGAAGGTTCTGCACGACCTCGCGACAAGTCGTCTCGTAGGTGATGCTCAGGGTCTTGTACTCGATGTCCGGTCGCAGGCAATTGGCGTAGACCTTGATGGTGGTCTGCAAACAAAAATTTCAGATTTTTCATCAATATGTTTAATCAATAATAAATTCTTTTATAGAGCTATCTTAAAAGAAAAAAAATATTAGTGACTCTCTCTCTTGCCGAAAAATATATACCATAAAATATAAATGGATAAGAAGGCATTTTTTTTTAGCTAAATTTGGTTTTAAGCTAAATTCAGTAGCTCAGGAAGGCGACGTCCTGTTTTGGCGGTACAGTAAAAAAACTCCAAAGACACGGGTCTTGACAATTAGTCCATAATTAACTCGGAGACAGACGTTGGCCACGCGCGCGGCATAAAACGCTATCAACCCCTCCGATACGACTGGTTATGTGGGGATGCGCGCACCGAAAATAAACCAGACGCCAGATCACCCCGTTCGCAGATGCCGCACGTATACGCTAACATTCATATTAATACATCCGCTTGCCAGATCTATGCGGATTTTGAATAATAGAAATAATTTCGTGTAAAACAGAATTTTTATATAGAGACTAGAAAGATGTAGATATATGAAAAAGCATCTATAAAATTATCAGTTGTTTAAATAAATATTTTTATTATATTTATTAGATAAAACCTATTATGCGCTATCACTAATTATTTCATTTAATTTTCATATGTTTAGACAATTTTCTATATATGTTATTTTTTAAATGATTCTTTTAACGCTTTAATAAAAACAATTCTTATGAGTAATAATCCATCTTTTAAAAAAAAACTTATATGTCATCACTAATTACTTTATTTAATAATATACTTCATTTAATAATAATAAATTTTTCTTAAGTTTGAAAAATTTTCCATATCTGCTCTGTTATTTAAATGATTCTTTTAACAAACATTCTAATAAAATTGTCATAAATAACTCATTTGTGCATCAAAAGGAAATTATCTCTCACATCTTCAACATTAAGGATGTTCAGGTACCAATGTCACAAATCAGCGGGTGCCAGCTCGGGTGTCGCGAACACATGTTTACGTAAAGGGGCCTTCCCTCGAAACACGGGTTTTCGTCGGTGAGATTTTACGAGTCAGTTGTACGCTTTTATTACTCTGCCGAAAGTCCTTTGACCCGAAACACGCCTTACAAACGTCCTATATATTCGAACGCGCTTACACATTCATTGAACATTCCGAGAGAGGTGATTTCGCCGAAGCTCGTATTAAATTGAAATCGTCGCAGGAAACCGGAACCTGAGTTACGAAATCCAATCCGGTTGAGTCTCCGTCGTGTGAAATTAAAACACGTTTCGATGACAATCGTGGGATCATACCTTCATTCGCTTATTATACAATGTTAACAATGGCGTTCATTGCGTACTGGTGCAATCGCCTATTGTGAGTTGAATTTGTCTCGAGGTTATTATTATACATTTTGTCTTATTGTGTAACGTCATGGTGGGTCCTCGAAGGAAGACATTAAGTAGATGACTGATTTACAATTTTACGAGTGAAAGGAAATGATTCGCGACATTGATAATCTGGCTACGCCTTAAGACAAAAACCATCGAATTGGCTAAGAATAAATATGCAAACGTTCTCTTCTATACGTTTTCATTATTTGTTAACGCGCTAGTAAAAGAAATATACAAATCGCCTCGAAATTCTCGGTGGAGTTTTACGATGACCGAGAATCGATAGGGAAACATCGCGCCTGGCCTAACAAGTGGCACCCCTAACGAAGCCGAAGATACACAGCTTTGGCGTAAATATACAACGCCTGGCATTCTGGACGCAGAAAGATTTCCATCTCACCAGCAAATCTCGCACGTTTTCGCAGAAATATCTTCGCATGTGTAAGTGCAACAAAATTTCTGACTCAGCTGTTGGAATTCCAATACACTTACGTTAATATTGTTTACGCAAATTTCAGTGCGCGTGTGCTAATCTTTGCGGTTTTTTATATACACCGCATCCGGGCAAGGTGCAAAGATCGTTATGAATCATTTATTCTAAGTACGTTAATGACGCTTTTTTCCTTTTATAATAGGCACTTAAGCAAATGATAAATTAAAAAATTTAATTGATAAAAGAGATATTTTTTTATCGTAAAATAGGAATTAAGTTAGAATAAATTTAAATATACACAAAATAATTATTTAATTTATAATTTAATCTAAAAAAACTGCTCTTTAATTAATTTGCCAAAAGCAAAATAAAAAGATCGTAAGTGCAATAACTGTAAATATCGAATAGAAATTAATAACGACAGAAGTCACTTCATTGAAAATCGCATCGACCGTCTGGTGGGGGCAATCGATCGCATGTTTTCTCATCTGACTGGCGGTCAATGAAAGGGAAAATAACGCGGGAGCTAAAAGGCATGCGAGTGTCAAAGCAAGACCTGCGCCTCGTCAGGATCGAGAAGGACACACGACACTCCGTTACGAGCGGTAAGCTCCAATATCTCGCACCCGGTTATACAGAGCGGACAGAAATACGTCTCGAGATATTTCTGTTCGATGTTTCTTCGGATTGAGAGTGCACCGCGCGTGTACGATTGACACCGCCGTCAAAACTGCTGCCTCAATTTTTATCACAATAAGAAGAAATCAGAGAAATTAATAATTTAACATCTTTCCTTGTATATTTCCAAGTTACTCTGTTGAGCCTTGAGAGCTACGTACCGAAATTAAGAACACTATATATTCTCCAAAATGTATTCATACCTTGGTCGGCGAGGTTATCAACATGCAACTCACCTTGCATAATGTGCGCGATGATATCACCGTCACTATTTATAAAACCGCGCACGAGGGGGATTTTGATAACGTGCAGACTGACTTTTCGTGCCCTTGATCTTACGTTACAGCTGGTAATAGGATGCAGCGAGTCTTTTGCCATTGAGATAATGAGCAGTTATCAGAGGGTGCATCATATTAACGTTAGAATAATACGAGAGATTAATACAATAAAAGTATTAAATTTTTTAATTTTGTAATTAGTATGTACGATTATTTATTTGAATATCGTGATTATATATCATGTGCGAAAAAATTCTTGTGACTACGGTACAAACTACGAAATCATTATATACACCATGCATTTCAAATTTCATAAAAGCGATAAAAACTCTTTTTCTGCACATTGGTTAGAACGTTCTAAGTCTTGTTATTCAAGTTTCAGAATCTACAGATCGGTTTAATCGATTGCCTCCTAAAAGAAATCGTAATTATACATCGGAGGATAAGGTCGTCCGACGACTTCGCTTTTTTTATACTCATTAATTACACAGTTAATGACGGATTCCACACGAGGGAAACGACTGTATTTTTAAATCCCCGTAAAAACTCGTTCTGTAAATCGAAGCTCTAATAGGAAAGCCAGATTGAGGAATTCGAAGAAGTGGAGGAAGCCCCCGAAATTTAGGCGGTAATACGCCGTGTCGAGCACACAGTGCGACAAAAAAATGAGCGGAATAGTGGGCGCCATATGTCACGGGATGCCGTCGTAATAAGGGGGGGGGGGGGGTCCAATTTAAGTGGAATCCATAAAAATCTCGAACTTGCTCTTCGCAAAGGAAGAACGCTCGTAGATATATAGTCTAGAACTTCTGTTAATTGTACGTTCGAAACCGGTAAATCAGCCATTGCCGTCTCTGACTTCTGCCTCCCTCCTGTTCTGATTCGTCCTGTTCTGCCGGCAGCTCATTGGCGCACTAAATATAGTCGCCTTTATCGTAAGTTTATCGTTATCGGCTCAGTTCTCAGTGCTCGCTTCGAAACGTCACCCGTTATACATATCCCTATTTTGGAGCAAGGTAAGCGACACCTTTCAACGGAAACCGTAATCGAGTTTGATTTTTTAAATTATTTATTAATTAATATATTATCTCACTTCTACGTAATAAGCTCGAGTGTTAAAACATTTATTTAAATTTATATTTCAACGTTTTCAATATCAGTATATCTATGTATCCCCTAATGATTATTTATTACTTTTAATTAACGTAGATGAAAACAATAACATATATTTATTTACTTATAAGAATATAATTATAATATAACTGTGTGATTGTTTGAGTTAAATTATGTAATAAAAATTAAATGTATTTAATATATTTAATATATTTAAGCATCAACTTTTAAAGTAAATATTTAGCAAAGTATATTCCAAGACACCTTATATTAAATATAACTAGAGAGAGAGACGTCTAGATCGACTCACTAAGTTATATTGTATTTAATATGTGTTGTTTCTCGCATGATGCGCACGCGCCGTCTATTTATATTATTTTCCAGTTGATAAGATGCGCGATGCCGACGCTATATTTCGCTCAAATGACAATCGAATTAAATAATGAAAAGAATTATACTTGATGACAGTCCCGCTGTGTTTTACTTAAAAATTGCAAAATTTGAATAAATCGATAAATTGTGCGTGTCATCACACACGGACTTTCACTGATACATACTGTGTATTATAATGCGAGGTCACGTTTAATTGCTCGAATCGCGATAGTGTTGCAAATTATGCGTCTGCTTGCTTCACGTGGAACAATATGCAGCTACAGAAATCCATATAATCTCTCAGCACCTCTACGCTTTAATTATAAAATTTTATTGAAATTGCTCTTGTTATTTCTTGATTCTTTTGGCAAGATAAAAAATTTGTAAATTATGGTCGCACAATGTAAACACTTATTCACCTATGTACTGTTTTCTAAATAATTAAGGAAGTTATGTGTTTTAATATCTTTCACGAAAGAGTCTCAAGGCAGTACATGAACTTTGTCTTTAACATATTCATTAACGTATAATCCACAATGCATCCATTAATGTATTAATCCATAATTTATATTAGATTAAAAATATTAGGCGACGTTGCGAGCACCCTGTAGAATATATTTGTCATTCGTCATATTTGAAGTGGACGATGTTTGTTCATTTCCATGCAACTCCATGTAACCCGTGAACAGCGGTTTCAACACTGGCTACCGCTAGTGTCCCAGGTAGGAGGCCCGTGCATAATAAATTTCTTATCCCGCGGAGC